CATCATTAGCTAGAAAATTGATAATTATTGAGATTAATTGGTGGTTAATTGATGGAGGAAATCTGACCCAGAGCAGGGATTAGTTTCTCAGCCTGTACAGCGAAACTGTTGCTGGTCGACGCGCCTCCTGTGGGATGTGAATATCTCCGCTCAGGGGCCTCGTATGTGAACCGTATGTAAACAGAAAAACTCTTTGTGTGTCAACCTTTCAAACTTGACATGGAGCTGCAGAAATCCATGCCAACTCGCAGAACTTGTCCAACTGGATGCCTTTAGTTTTATTTACCTCCGATGGATCAAACCTGATGATTCTAACGATAATACAGGAAGGATAACTGAAGAATCAAAGCAATACATCCACCAGAAAGAAGACTTTATAAGAAAATGACAGGAGGACAGAGAGAAACAGAATAAATAAGACATTTTCACATCAACGTTTTTCAGTCTGTTCAGAAACTGTGTTTCCTGTTCAGATCCAGAGTGAAGTTTCTCCGGTAACAATAATGGAATAAAGGACGAACGTTAAAAGTCAGTTTTCTGCTCTTTAGAGGAGAACAGATTTCCAAAGGAAGCATTAAAACACAAAAACTCGATCCAGTTTGTTTCCAAACATGATTTTATTACATTTAGTTATTTTTCCCATAATGCAGCAGCGCTGCTTCTCCCCCACCCCTACCAACCCCCGGTTTCCATGGAGATGCTGTCACCAAGTTGACTTTAGTGAGCTGGTGTGGAACAGAGATGCAGATGTTTGTTTGTTCAGAACCCTGAACCAAACTGGCCGAACGGGTCGAGTGAGACAGACCAGGCCTGGAGAGAGAAAGTGAAAGAACGAAACGCCTCAGCAGGCGGGGTCAGAACGCGCCGTCAGGAGGAGGACATGTACATGACCCCCACAGAGACCAGAACCTCTGGCTTTTACTGACCGAGTCCAAGCTGGGGCGTCGCACTGCGCTCTGAGGAGCCAATCAGAGGTGAGGAAGGGGCGGGGCTTATGGCACGCCTGCTTCAGGTCGTTGGTGAAAGAGGAGACGGCTTCACTGGGTTTACTGTGATTTTTAAGGTGGTTTTGATCAGAGAGAAATGCTGAATTAGTTTGAGTTTCTTCATCAGATCCGACAGATGTCTTCACTAACTTATGAGGACTTTTTACTGTTTCTCTCATATCTGACTTTTACATTCTGACACATTATGCCGAATTTATCGGCCTAATTCCAATTAGGCCGGTATGGAAGAGGATTAGGGCCACTGGAAAAAATAAAAAAAGTTAACTGATTTTTATTTTATTTTATTTCAGTTTAATATGGTAAAAAAGTCAGAATTCTGACTTTA